CGCGCGGGTGGTTATGGGCGCAACTCGTTGTGCCCACGTGACACTTCTCCTGCGCGAGCTGCACTGGCTTCCAGTGGTCTTCCGGGTGCAATTCAAGGTGTTGGTTACCACCTTTAAAGCGCTCCATGGCTCAGGACCGGGGTATATACGAGACCGCCTTCTGCCACCGACAGCCTCCCACCGGCCAATTCGCTCCCACAGAGAGGGGCTCCTCAGGGTGCCATCGGCCAAATTATGTCGGCTGGCGACACCCAGGGGGAGGGCCTTCTCTGTGGGAGCCCCAGCCCTGTGGAACGAACTGCCCCCGGAAATACGCATGATCTCCAACCTCCATGTGTTTCGCTGTGCCCTTAAGACCCTGTTGTTCTGCCAGGCCGGGCTATCTATGTAAATGATTTTTAATTGGGTGTTTTAAATTTTTGGGTTTTAAATTCGGGCCGAAATTGTTTAATACTTTTAACTATTTTAAAATTGTTGTTTCTATCTTGTGTTTTTAATTGGCTGTACACCGCCCCGAGTCCTTCGGGAGAAGGGCGGTATATAAATTAAATTAAATAATAAATAAATAAATAAATAAATAAATAAATAAATAAATAAATAAATAAATAAATAAATATGATTCTATGAAACTAGTGTTAGCCTTATTTCTTTTACTTTACATAAATCTTGGGCAAGGTGCTTTTTGAAGCAAGTGGATTTTCTTTGCTTTCCTTGAAGACATTTTGCTTCTCAGAATAACAGAATAAGAGAAATGGAAGGGACTTCGGAAGTCTTCTAGTCCAACCCCCTGCTCAAGGAGGAAACCCTATACCCATGATGGTGAACCTATGGCACTTGTGCCCAAAGTGGCATGCGGAGCCATGTTGCCCAGACCAGCTCTACCACACATGGCACACAATCAGCCAGCTGGTCTTTGGGTCTCTGCCACACATGCGTGGGAAGAGGGGCACATGCGGGGGACACACTTGTGTGTGGGAGCAGGGCACATGCACGGGTTTGGGCCTGGAAGGCCTCCTACACCCACCTGAAAGCCAAAATGGGGCACGGGAGCGCTGTGCGAGGTCCCCTCATGCCCGATTTTGGGCCTAGAAAGCTTCCTGAACCAACCCAGAAGCCAAAACAGGGCACGGGGGGGGCAGAATGCATGTGCACAGGGACGCATGCGCTGGGGCAGGGGCGCATGCGTGGGGGGCCGCTCCCATTGCATTTTGGGGGTCCGGGCACACACGGGTGCATTCGTGCACGCTTTGGGCACTCAGCACCAAAAAGGTTAACCATCACTGCCCTATAGCATCTCAGACAAATGGTTGTCCAATCCCTTCTTAAAAACCTCCAGTGATGAAGCACCCACACCTTCTGGAAGCAAGTCGTTCCACTGGTTAATTATTTTTCCCTGTCAGGAAATTTCTCCTTAGTTCTAGTTGCTTCTCTCCTGGATTCTTCTCATCCAAGGAGCTTCTTCAGTTCTGACTGTCGGAACTGAAGGAAGCTCCTTGGATGAAAAGCGAAACGTCTTCAAGGAAAAAGAAAAGGAGGTCCAGTTGCCTCTTTAAAAAGCATCTTTGGGGAAGCCATGATGTGGATGACTGAGACTCTCCATAGGCGTTTGGGCAAGATAGAGCAGGGGTCTCCAAACTATGCAACTTTAAGGCTTGTGGACTTCAACTCCCAGAAGCCCCAGCCAGCATTGTTGAAGTCCACAAGTCTTAAAGTTGCATAGTTTGGAGACCCCTGTGCTAGAGGGCCATGGCAGAGAAGGGGGGATTCTCTTAATTGTCCACACACTTTTATATCAGAGAACTACGGTAGCTATTTTGTCCTGAGAGACTGGCTCTAAAGTAGAAGAGAGTTTTCCTACCAAGACTCAGGAGTTCATAAAATTGACCACTTCCCAATTGCACAATTTCCAGCAGGTCCTTGCAGCATCACCTTGCAGCGTGCCACAACAGCGAGGAATTTTTACCTTGGCAAAAATAACTTGCTTTCTCTTACGAGTGCAAACGCACGGCAAACTTTAGCCAAAGCTTGCCTGGACCGTTTCTCATCTGGGACACATCCGTCCCCAAACAGCAGCCTGAATATTTTTTCCAGAAATGCGGCTTTTGCAAACAGCGCTTAATGGCCTGTTAGCAAGTTTTGTCCTGAGTTTGCAGGGCCTTGTCATAATTGAAGCCAGCAAATGCGCGTTTATTCTGAAACGGTGTCCTTGAAATAGTTTGGCTTGTGTGATTGTGTGTGTTTGGGTGCTGGAGTTCTTCTTGAGAATTTCACTTCATAGCGCAAGAATGCAACTTAAAAAAAATAGGATAAATAAAAACATAAACTGGAATATGGAGACTTACACATGTGCGGCATAAGCTATTCGTTTGTTGGCAATGAAAATACACTTCGATTTTAAAATAATCTTTGGTTCTCCTGCAGTTTTTGAGAAAGAAATATCTGAGAGACCTTCTTAATTTCTTCTAGTAATTAACGTTCAGGATAGCATCTAGGAAAGGTCCTTGACTTACAACAGTTCATTTAGTGATGTTTGAAATGACAACAGCACTGAAAAAAGTGGTTTATTACTATTCTTCACACTTAAGACCATTGCAGCATCACCACCATGTTCAAGTGATCAAAATTTGGAAGCTTGACAACTGGCTCATATTTCTGACAGTTGCAGTGTCCTGAAGTCATGTGATCCCCTTTTGTGATCCCATAAGCCAAGTCATTGTAGAAGCCAGATTCACTTAACAACCGTGTGACTAACTTAACAACTGCAGCAATTGACTCAACAACCATAGCAAAAAAGGTCGTAAAATGAGGCAAAATTCACTTGACAGCTGTTTCGCTTAGCAACAGAAATGTTGGGCTCAGTCGTGGTCGTATGTTGAGGATCACCTGTACTGGCTAGCTGCAAATGGAGAGTAAAAGTGCGGGTTAGAAATGCTCTTGCTTCAGAAATGGATTTAAATTGTGTATTTTCGAAGCCATCCTAGCATTCCTACCTTAATCAATGAGAAGGAAGGTATGAGGTCATCCGGCTCTTCTATTTCAGGAAATCCTCCAAGCATGGGGCTAAGCAGTATTTATTGCAAGAGAATTTGTTTAAACCCTTGCCACACAAAAGGAGGAAAATATTCAGGCAAATCAAGAATTTTTCTCAATTTGATCCTTTCCCTTGCTGGTCCAGACGGGAATGATGGCTCTTCCTTGAGCCTTTAGCAGCGAAGGCTAAGTCTGTAAAAGATCAGCATAGCAAAGGATAGGAAAAAAAAAAGACAGGAAGGATCAAAGGAAGGAAGGAAAGCCAGCATCATTTGGAATTTGGGCTAGAAATATTGAGCCCAGGGGTACGAGAGAGAGGAGCATACGGACAGATGCGTTTCTATTTATTTGACGTATTTCTCCTGCCAACTACTGAAATCCGCAGCAGCCTTCTTCCAACCTCTAGTGTAGCCCCTTTAATATGGGTGAGCATGAAATGAGAAACACATTTTGTTTTGGGCTCCGAACAAAACAGTCTCATTTAAGTGGTTCCAATGTAAGATTCTGAGTTTGCTGTGTTCCAGCAAAATAAAACAGCCGGGCTTTGAACAGTTAGTCCATAAAAACACAATGGGTAAAGGTAGTCCTTGAATTAAGACCACAATTGAGCCCAACATTTCTGTTGTTAGGCGAGACATTTCTTAAGCAAATTTTATTCCATTTTACGACCTTTCTTGCCGCAGTTGTTAAGTAAATCACTGCAGTTGTTAAGTTAGTAACGGTTGTTAAGTGAATCTGGCTTCCCCCTGGACTTTGTTTGTCAGAAGGAGGTCGCAAAAGGTGATCACATGGCCCTGGGACACTGCGGCCGTCATAAATACGAACCAGTTGCCAAGTATCTGAATTTTGATCACATGACCATGGGGATGCTGCAACAGTCGTAAGTGTGAAGAACGGTCATAAGTCACTTTTTTCAGTGCTGTTGTAACTTTGAACAGTCACTAAATGAACTGTTGTAAGTTGAGGACTATCTGCATTCAGAAAAATCCCTTCCTGCCGTGTGCTCAAGTCCATAAGAATGAGTGGTATGGCAGTCCAAACTCCTGTCTTTCACTAAACTTTTATAAAACCTGGCCAAAAGTATGATTTTAAGATCAATTTAAAATGCTGGTTGGCTGTGCTTGCTGAGAGTGATGGGAGTTGTGGTCTAACTTACCTGCTCATCTTGTTGAAGAAAGCTGGTTTACGGTGAGTGAATTTTTATTTTTGGACTAAATTCGCCATAGTGACCTAAGCTATAATGTGATTTTGTTTTATTTTTGGAAACACTTCCTCTTCTTGCAGCCCATAGTAATTACGTTGACGATAACCACTTAAAACTAAATTTCATTGTAGAATGGAATGATTGTGCTTCGCACAGTCGACCACAAGTTTAGACTGGAATTGGCATTTTTGTCCGCCTGTTGAGTTCTTCCCAAGGACCTGAGATGGGGAGATGTGGATGGTTGATGGAGTTAAAGGTCTCGTCACAGGAAGGAAGCTGTTCCGAGGCAAGCTGCCTTTTGCAATTGACTGTTGGTGATTGTGTCAATGCCGTTGGTGATTATTATGGTTTGCAGGTCTTTGTATTTTGTGATGTTGTTATTATACTTCATCACCCTGGGTTTGGCATCTTTATCCATCAATCAAGTCCTTCCCAAGGATCTGGAATAGGCAGAGGTTGTGGTTTGATGGTGTTATTGCAGGATGTAAGCTATCCCAAGCAAAGCTGCCTTTTGACTAATGGAGATTTTGATTTTGTCAGGGCTGATGAGGTTGAAGACTTTGTTGTCCTTCTTATTGAAAGTTGTTAAGTCTGGGGTGTTACGTGGCAGGTGCTTGTCTTTTTGAATTTTAAACTTCCAGAGCACTTTAGCCTATTATTACTATTATTATTATGGTTTGTTGTTATTGTTATTATTATCATCCCATCTTTATGTGCTTACTCTCGGTTGGTTGGATCTCATACTGCTTATTCCTTCTCTTTCAAGATTTATCACGGAACCGACTCTCCGAGCTGCCACAAGAAGCTTGCCTCTTCGTTTCCCTCGAGAGCTTGAATTTGTACCAGAATTGCATTCGTTATATTCCAGAAGCCATTTTGAACTTGCAGTCCTTAACATTTTTGAATATCAGGTAAGCACATCATGTCTCTCCCCATGCTGCCCTTGACTGCCCAAGCTGGAGAGAGTTGAGCCTAGCAGAATTTTCACATTGTCTTGAAAGGAGAATGTGTGAACTAAGGTGAACCCCCGCATTTTCCAAGGATAATCAGCGCTTCATATATTGAATTGAAAGCTTGCCTGTTCAGGAGAGTCTGGCTGTCCAGGTTACATTTTAATATATTTGCTTTATGTCTACATGATGGGTGAATCTGGAGAGTTCAAAATTTTCCTTGAGATTATTGCAAGTTACTGCAAAATGCAGATGTCATAGTATGAATTCTGTGTTAGTTTGTGACAGCAAAAAACAACAACAACACCCTGCAGTCTGATAGCACCTTTTCTGACTGACAAATTTTATTGAAAGGCATAAGCTCTGGTGAGTTCATGTCATAGATGGCATCTGATGAAATAAACTGGAGCTCACCAAAGGTGGTTATAATTATTGTTTATTAAATCTCTAGTGTGTGCTACCTGCTGTAACATAAGCCAGTGAAACATGGTCACTAACCTCACAATCGATGCAAAAGCTACATGTGGCTCAAAGAACCATGGAAAGATACATGCTCGGCATTACAAGACAAGATAGAAAGACATCCCGCACATGGATGACAGAATAAACGACAGTATAGGAGATCATCAAGAGAGTTAAAGAATTGAAATGGAAACGAGCTGGTCACATAGCAAGAAGAACTGAGGGTAGACGGGCCAAGGCAGTCATAGAATGGATCCCACTTGATCAAAAGCATCCACAAAAGAGACGTAAAACAAAATGGAGCAATGACATCAGCCAAATATTGGCAATTAGCCAATTAGGAAAAAAAAAAAGCTCAGGACCATTTGGGTTGGAAATGTATGGAAGAGGCCTTCATCCTGCAGTGGATAGACGAGGAGGAGCAGGAGAAAGAGGAGGAGGAAGAAGAAGAAGGAAGAAGAGGAAATAATAATAATAATAATAATAATAATAATAATAATAATAATAATAATAATAATAATAATAATATAATTTATAGGCCATCTATCTCACTGTTGAAGCAAAGTTATGCCTTTGAATAAAACAAGTTAGTCAGAAAACATGCTACCAAAATGTCCTTTTTCCTGGTTTTTACGTTAATCTCACTATGTTCTTGTTGTTTTAACACATTCAGTCACGTCCGACTTTTGGTGACTTTATAGGCAGGTGGTCTCCAGGCTACCCTGCCAAGCACAGCTGCGTTCAATTGTTGGATGTTCAACTTTGCATCAGGTTGCGATGTTAATCGAGCCACCGTGTTCTTTGCTTGCCCCTTCTTCTTGTTCCACTGACTGTTCCTAGCATCACTGCCTTCTCCATTGAATTCACACCCATAAATTAAGGGCCTGGTGGCTCAGCAGACTGATAGCATTGTGATTAACACCAGCTGTCTGCAATTACTGTAAGTTTGAATCTCTCCAGGCTCAAGGTTGACTCAGCCTTCCATCCTTTCTAAGGTAGGTGAAATGAGGACCCAGATTAGGGGGGCAATAAGCTGACTTTGTATAAATATACAAAAGTATGAAGGCTATTGCTTAACGCATTATAAGCCGCCCTGAGTCTCCGGAGCAGGGCGGCATATAAATCAAATTAAAAAATAATAATAATAACTTGTCCAAATTAAATCAGCCATTGTCGTGAGATTTTGACTTCTAATACGATTCAGCCCCTCTCCGTTGGCTGCTGTGGCTGTCCAGGATGTATGCAATAATTTACGCCAGCCCTCCCAGTTCGAAGGCATAAATTCTTCTTCAATCAGCCACTCTTGGTACCCAGCTCTTACGCCGATATATTATTACAGGGGAGACTACAGGCAGTCCTCGATTTACAACAGTTCATTTAGTGGCCTTTCAAAGTTACAACGGCACTGAAAAAAGTGACTTGTGGCCATTTTTCACACTTGCGACCGTTGCAGCATCCCCATGCTCACATGATCAGAATTCATATGCTCGGCAACTGGCTCGTATTGTATTGTATTTTTTATTTATTTATTTATTTATTTATTTATTTATTTATTTATTTATTTATTTATTTATTTATTTATTTATTTATTTATATTTGAATTTATATACCGCCCTTCTCCCCTAGGGACTCAGGGTGGTGAACAGCAGAAATTAAAATACATACAATATAGAAGTTAAGATAGCTAAAATAAATTAAATCAATCGTATTTATGACGGTTGCAGTGTCTCAAGGTCATGTGATCCCCTTTTGCGACCTTCTGACAAGTGAAGTCAATGAGGGAAGCCAGATTAGTAACCCTGTTATTAATTTAAGTGATTCACTTAATAAATGTGGCAATAAAGGTCATAAAATGGGGCAAAACTCATTGAGCAAATTTCTCACTTAACAACATAAATGTTGGGCTCAATTGTGGTCGTATGTTGAGGACTACCTGCATCGCTCTAACTAGCCTGCTTTTTGTATTTATATCGATATCTCTGTTTTTCCAGATTTTATTCATGTTAATCATCACAGTGGTTATCCTGCATTTGATTTCAGGAATAGAACTGCCATTGTGAACAATAAATCCATTATAGCATTTCTGTATTAACTAAGTTTCTAATTTGTTTCCGTCCATAATTCAAGATGCTGCCTTAACGGCTACAGTCCTAAACAGTTTGGTCTAGGTTTTATATATAACACTGCCTCTTCATTTTAACAAAACATGTCTGAAGTGAAATATCTGTTTTGGAAGACTTTCTGTGTAGGGGGTTTGTGAAATACAAACTGTTTCGTATTTCAAAAAGCCATTTTAAGTGACTTGAGTGGGAACGAAAACTCGAGTCTTCTGCGCAAAAGAGCACAAACTCTCTCATGTTTGAAAATGGCCTTTTTTAAGTGAACCAAGTGTGAAAGGAAACTCACGGGTTCCATAAGTTAGATTTGAGGCTGGAACAAAACCGGCTGCTTCGTTCCGATCCCAGAACTAAAACTTGTCTGGTTTGAGCAATGGCATTGCAAGTCATTTAGCCATTCAGGGTATTCTTGTCATTCCGAAGATGACACGGACCATTTCAAGCGTTCTGTGTTTGAAATACAGGCCGTCCTCGACTTACGACCACAATTGAGCCCAAAATTTATGTTGTTAAGCGAGGCATTCGTTCAGCGAGTTTTGCCCCGTTGTACAACCTTCCTAGCCACCGTTGAATAATCGCACTTGATAAGTTAGTCACATGATTGTCAAGTGAATCTGGCTTCCCCATTGACTTTGCTTGTCAGAAGGTCACAAAAGCGGTTCACGTGACCCGTCGTAAATATGAAGCAGTTGCCATGCATCCAAATTTTGATCACGTGACCACGGGGATGCTGCAACGGTCGTAAATGTGAAAAATGGTCCTAAGTCACTTTTTTTTTTCAGCGCCGTCGTAACTTTGAACAGTCATCGAACGAACTGTTATAAGTCGAGGACTACCTATAAAACCCGTGTGGTTTCAGTGAGGTTTTTTTTGTAGCATGTGGCCAACTTGACTCGTCCAACTAGTTTTGAGTGGGTTACCTGAAACAAAACGTATTTTCCTGCTGTGCAGATTCCTCCTTCCACATGGAAATTAAAACCCAGCTCATTTGGGACGCTCTTTTGATGATTCTTCATCTGGGGAAAACACGTTAGGCCCGTTCTTTATTTAGCTTTAGGCCGGCTGTTTCGTTTTCAGATGGTTTTCGATGGGTTAATTCCTCTCTCAGCTTCTCAACTTCTTCTTTTCCTGGAGTTAACAATTTGTTTTCTAAAATTTTGGGACTTTTCAGGGGCCGAGCGATGTAGATAAACACTGCTGGTTTTGCACTTACGTCTTTGTACATAATTATCCTCCAGCGAATAGTTGAGATCCTTGCTGATTTGATTGCAAAGCATTGTATCTTACAGCATATTTGCTACATTCAGTGAAAAGATGTTTTGTATAAAAGGTGTTTTGTTTTGTATTAAGATCATGCGAAGTATCAATATCACTTTATAATGCCTCGATAAGACCACACTTGGAATTCTGCATCCAGTTTTGGTCCCTACGATATTAAAAAAGATATTGGGATTCTGGAAAGAGTGCAGAGAAGAGCAACAAAGAGGATTAGGGGACTGGAGGCTAAAACATATGAAGAACAGTTGCAGGAATTGGCTAGTCTTGACGAAGAGAAGGACTAGGGGTGACGTGATAGTAATATTTGAGGGACTGCCCCAAAGAAGAGGGTGTCAACCTATTCTCCAAAGCACCCGAAGGCAGGACAAGAAGCAACAGATGGGAACAAATCAAGGAGAGAAGCAACCTAGAACTAAGGAGAAATTTCTTGGCAGTGAAAACAATTAATCAATTGCTTGTATCTTTACGATTTATATTATTTTACTTAGTTCCTAGTATGATTTGATTGCTTGTTTAGCATCATATGACTAAGTGTTGTATCTTATAATTCTTGATGGACGTATTTTTCTTTATGTACACTGACAGCATATGCTCTAAAGACAAATTCCTTGTGTGTCCAATCACACTTGGCCAATAAAGAATTCTACTACTGTTGTGGGTGCTCCAACACTGGAGGTTTTTAAGAAGAGATTGGACAACCATTTGTCTGGAATGGTGCAGGGCTTCTCGCCTGAGTAGGGGGGTGGACTAGAAGACCTCCAGGGTCCTTTCCAACTCTGTTATGTGTATTACTTTGTATACCTCACCCAGCGGTAAAATAATCAGAGTTTGACTTAACTCGATCTTCTGGGGATTTAGTTGTGCCTTAACTTCCTTTGTCTTTTACAGCAAGTTTCCTTTCAAATAATAATAAAAAAAAGGATGTGAGTCAGAGGGCAACTTCCGATACTTGTTCGCTTCAAAATATTTGTTTTCTTCTGCTAGCCGGCCCTGGGTAAACAGGGAAGGCTAAGATTTCTTTTTCTCAAAAGCAATTCATTTCACGTCAAAAGGATCCTACGACCTGGTGTGTTTCGGTCGCTGCTGGTGCCGTTTTCCTTTCGA